TACTTCACATGATGAAGCAGTAGGGCACCTTTCTTTTTAAAGATACACTTGGGAAGATCTTAGACTAACCCAAACTATCGAGCCACTGAGTTTGGTTGGTAAGCAACCAAAGCCACTTGAGACTTCGATAGATTCAGTCCAAGGGTTAGCAACCTTTGGAATCAGAAAAACCTCTCAAATCTGTGAAGACTCTGCTTTTTAAGCCTTGGTTGGGGCTGGAAAAGGTCTTGTAAACCACTCAGGACCATACTTTCTTGCAGCAAATGGAGCCATGTTCGATGTGAACTCATGATGTTTGGAAAACATCATGACATAACTCAAGAACGTTGGCCTGTGGGATTGTCCTTCTTCGCTGAGAATGAGTTGGACCAAGCGAGTCCCTTCGACTCTTCTATTCTTGATATCTTCAGCAGTTTCATTTATTTGATTTTTATTGGGGAGAGTGGCTTCAAATGAGGTATTTAGACAAAGTTGTAACAACCAAAAGGGACCAGACAACAAAAGGTTCCCTTTTTCTCCCAAATCTTTAAGTTGGGTCACTCCTTCACTTAGAGACTCATAGAGATTCCCTAAGATCATTTTGCTTAGGCAGATATCATGACCTTTGTGAAGTTGAGTGGCTAGAGTTAAGTATCTCCTAGCTATTTGGAGGGACTTTGAGCATAATACACAATGGGATAGCGATACAGTAAAAAAAGCTATGTGTTCTCTATCAGAAACATCATAAGTTATTTTGTCGAAGTACTGTGTTATGAAGTGAGAATATGTGGCTTTGGAAGATACAAAACCTATGGAGTCGTCATATTCTAGGTCGGGGTCATAGGTGTTTCTAGTGGGTTTAAGCCCTTTGATTATGGTTATATCGAAGAGTGTGGGAGTCATCATCCCACAAGGGAGATGGAAAGTATAGTGGGTATTATCCCAGAAGTACAAAGAAGAAACAAACATGGTCGAACAGTAATCAATACCCGATTTCGACAGCATAATCAGGTCGTAGATTCCCAGGTTCTTCCAAGTTTGGGATTTAACTCTCTCTATTTTCGCTAGCCAGTTCATGTAATCATCAGAATATTTGAAATATGAGGTTGCTCTAAAAACTCTAAGGCTATTGTTCATGTACCTTAAATCTATATTATTCAATACTACCGCATCAGAAGAAGTTTTCTCAACCCTAGATGTGTTTGCCTGCCCTATGGGTTTTGACTTGTGGTAAGAGGGGAAAAAGTCCCTAGATTTATAATGATCAAAACTAAGAGAAGGTAAAAAAACACATAATTCATGTCTTTTACCAGGAACAGTAACGGGGATAAGTACCTGAGATTCATATATCTTTCTCTTTTCTTCTTCAAGTGGTTCAGAGATGAATTGTTAGGTTCTCACCATTTTTGGCACTGATAGTGTGTAAAAGGAAGAAGCTGAGAGATCTTCTTCAAGTCTTTTGATTTATGGCCTTTCTTGGAGTCTTTAACATTGGTGTTTGAAGACGCCATTATTAAGGTTTGAAGAAAATATGGATTTTTTGGAAGTTTGGAAAATGTAGAGAGAAGAAAAATGTTTGAAGATTTTTGGAAGTGTAAAAGTTAAAATGGCTAAGTTTGGAGCAATTTATAAGCTCTTGGGAGTTCAAAAGACTTCAAATCAGCATTAAAGAGTTGATAGTTAGTGGGACACGTGTTCCACCAGGACCGTTTAATTGAACATGGATAATTAATGCCTAGTGCGCGATTTCCTAGGGTCTAGGAAACATGATGATGGCTAAAGATTGTGCCGTGCTTTGATGAGATGTTTCAGAAACCGTCATGATGATCATGACGTCACGGGTTTCTCGAAATAGTAAAGCATGCAAAAGTCGTTTGAGGCGTTGAATGACATTATCAAAAAAATGCCTTTTTCTTCAGTAATGTTGAAAATGACATTTTTGAGAGGCAATTTGTTGGCTCTAAATTTCGACGTCTGAATTGGATGAAAAGAAAGTAATAGAATTTCTGAAGAAACCTAATGACTTCGACTAGAGTCATATTTTTGGAATGTGAGTCGAAAGCGTCCTTTTGTCAGGAAAAACTATTTTACAGACTTAGAAATATTTCTTAGCAGTTGGAAGATTCGATTCGACTGAGGTGCTACTAAAGGAATTTCGACAGGAAGATTTAAATTCGAGGGAAAATTTGTTCTTATCCATTCTCAAAGAAGACACATGGAGCGCTTCTAGAAATCGAAGACATGCAGAGCGCCACTTGTCTCAATTTAGTTTGCTAGCCGTTAATGGCAGTTATCTTCGATTATTATAAATAGCAAGTCTTAGTGTTAGGATTTTTGTGTGTTCAATTATGTATAAATTCTTCAGTATACTTCAAGTATCCGTGTGTAGAGAAACAAGTTTGTGAGAATGTACGTTGATGTAACACCAATTTTTACATTTCAATGCAATTTAATAAATCTTTTCCATTAAGAATTTATCCTTTTTTTATGCAAGTTATTGTCTTCATCGTTTACCAGCACTTTGATTTTACTCCTTCGTGTTCAATTCCGTTTGCATTTGAAATAAGTTACTTTTTCATGAACTCTGTCAAAGTGTTCATCGTCTTTTTAAATTTTGTTTAAAGATTAATTAGCACATGTTCTAGGATTTGTGTGGTCGATCCTGCACGTAAAATAAATCTTTTTTGATTTGAAAGACTAGTGGTTGTTCACCAATTTTTACGGTGAACACTTAGTATGAAAGGCTTATAGAATTTCTCACCACAAATGGGTATAAATAGGAGGTATTGATAAAATCATGTGTTATGCGCCAACCATATCCCTTTCAACCCGAACACCCTAAAAGATACTGCTCATGACCAAATGTATCAACTAGCTACCCAATTGTATCTCTGGCGCCTTCACCTCATCACAAGATAACCCTGCATCTCGTTGCAGAAGATTCTCAACTTAGGTACATCCAACGTTTCTTCGCATTTTACGGCAGAAAGATAGCGATGTATTTATCCTTATTTTCTATTTATAGGGAATGATGTCATTTCAAATAACAAGTTTCAAATACAATTTAAATACTCTATACTCTTTTGTATACTGACTAGAGCGTCTGAATGCTAACCTTGCAGGTACACCCCCATTCTGCCGCATCAGAAATCTTACGCCATAGTAGCTTCCACATTTATCACTATCGTCACGATACCAAAAATAACCACAAATGCTCACACGTTCAAGATAATAACAGAGTCGCCACTGAACTTTATTTATTATAGAAGGAAAGAAAATATATTGATAAAACTCTTAAAAAGAAAAATAAAATTTTGTTCACAACCAAATTCAAATTTGGGAGTCGATTATGCGATGAGAAGGTATTAGCACCCCCTCACATTTGTTGTACTCAACGGAAACCGTTTAATTAACTTTGCGAATTGAATGTTAGCTTTTGTTATTTGATTTCTTCTAGTTATTAAAAGTTTGAAAATGAAAAAGGACTAAAAATAATTTTTTATTAGGGTGCCTGACGAGACGTTGAATCTCACTCTAACATATCCTCAGGTGCGATGGAGAACTCAAGGCTACGGCTTCTTGGATAACAAATGTTTATTGGTTGATCAATTTTACCAAGGATGATTAGTTCACATTCGAGCAATAAACATTTCTTTCTACCCAAAAAAATGGAGAAGCGAACATTGGCATTACATTAGAATGGACAACATAACTTAGAATTCACAGAGTTATGTTCTCATCGCATTCAAGTGGAAAGCGTTCTTACTTATTATGCATGGTAGAAACGAAGCTTTGTGTCGTCTTGGAATGGACGAAACATCTTTCGTTTATAAAAGGTTCTGACATCGCGCTGAGGCAGAAAAGAGATCGTTTAATTAGTGAGATCTTGAATTGGTCCTTTTAGATTAGTCGGTCGTAAGGCCGGATACCAAGATTTCAAAACAAAAAAACTAACGCATCTCGTAAAAATACAATAATACTCTCATATTTGAGATATACATATTTAAACGTAGCCTAAACACACAATTCATTTGTTTTACAGACACTATGACTATATTTATTCTTATTTATTCTAAAAATGCATTTTTAAAATAAATTTAGACACTATGACTATATTTATTCTTATTTATTCTAAAAATGCATTTCTAGAATAAATTTAGTAACTAAAAAACAAATGAATTGTATGTGTATGAGATGCTTTCAGAGATATATTTCCAAAAACTAAAAAGAATTTTTTAAAATTCTATACTGTCCTTTTCTACCTTATAGAATGGGATAAGAAATTTTCAAATTCTAATTGTTGTGATTTTCTACAAAAGATAAAATGATGCAAAGTCCATCGAAATTTAAAGTATGAAGAGTAAGTAAACATTTTGGCTCTTAAACTGTAAGAGGACTATGATCATCAATGATCAATCATGTTGATAGCATGATGCAAGTGTACTGTTGATAAAATATTTCAAGTTGAATGAATGAATTTTAAAAAAGTTCTAGACAATAATCATATTGACAGAAAAAAACACTTTTATTCTAATTTTAACTAAGAATGAAGTATGATTTATAAAAAGCTCTAATAATGACTATTGTAAGAAAATTGACATGACAGTAACAATTAACTAAGAATGAAGAAATGACAAACAAAAAGGTACAGCAAACATAGGTCTTTCAATCCAAGCATCAATTCAGTCAAAAAACATATAAAGAATATGGGGGTATTCGCGTTGGGTGACAAACAACATCTATCAAACAAATATCCACCACCACGCAACCCAAACCCAAATCTAATGTTGCAGTATGGCTCTATAATCTTCTGCACGAAAGTGCAAAACCAGAAATACATGGAATTTAACAATGACAAAACCAGCCAATCCAATCCTACACATTCAATCTCAAACAAAAAATAAAAATATATATTATATATATTATTATTTGCAGTATCTGATAATATCTGACTCAAACTGTGCAGAAGATGCAGAAACCAAAGAATAGTTTTTTTTTTTTTTAACTTTAAATCATCTGCTTCAAGTTTCTGGTGCAGGTGCGGGAGCCTTCAGAAGTGGTTGGAGTGCTTTAACAACAATGCTCATATTAGGCCTGAACTCAGCTTCATACTGCACACACAGTGCTGCTACAGCTGCAAGCTGCATAGTCAACCATATTCAATGTATTATGTAATTGTTAAAGCGAGGGCGAGAGGGTGAGAAAAGTTACCTTAGCAACTCCTTTAGGGGGATATTCTCCTTTCAGTTTTGGGTCAACGCATTGTTTCACTTTATCTTCACTTAATCTTGGGGTAGCCTACAAAAACATCTATGTCATTGAAATGTCTAGAGCAGGCAGCCATTGGTAAATAATTGAAACAGGGCAGTGACGAGGCACGAGTTTAAGAAGGTAAACTAACCCATGTGACAAGACTTTGCTGTCCTCGAGGCATGGTATGATCAACGGGTTTTCTACCAGTAAGCAGCTCAAGAAGAACAACCCCAAAACTGTAGACATCACTTTTTTGAGTCAACTGTCCAGTCATGGCATATCTGCAAAGTTTGGCATCAAAACATAAGCTAAGAACCAATAAACAAAATTAAATCTAACAAAGGCAATTTGAGATGAGAAGCAAAAAATTAATGAAAAACTCAGCAAGGAAAAGATACCAATTCAGTTTTCATAAGTTTCTAGTGAAATTGCATGCCTCCGTAACTGGATCATATAGCATATTACCAAAATGACATGAACCATTTTAATAGCAAATATTAGTAGTTGGTTGTTATTTTTGTCAGAGGAGTTGATTCCAAATCCTTATTTGCACTTTGTAACAAAAACATACCAGTTAACGGTCTTTTTTTTTTTTGCTAAACCACTAATTAGGATTTTTGACCCTTAGTAGGTACCTCCACGGCTTAAGCCCTTTCTTTAGGTCTACTATGGGACTAACCCTCGAGTCGGCAACAGACATTTTGTTTTATTAACCAGGGTTGGACCACCTTGAGCGACTCTAGGAATTGAACCCGGGTTCTTTTCCTGTGGGAGAGTCAATGTGAGCCAACTCTCCCGACATGGATTGATGTCAACAGTCACTGCTTTATCATCAGTTATACAAGAAATATTACACATTTGAATTGAATTAACATTAACATGTATCATCAGCTAAACCACTGCTTTATCGCTGACAATGATACTATGACAAAAATGACTCAAAGTCAAATGCTATTTAATAGACCTAAGCAATAAAACATGAAATGCAGCTGTATATAAAGAGATAAGGCAACGCTAAACAGTCTAAAGCATTTCAGAAAAATGAAAGAAAAAACTTCAAAGGATACAGGATACCATACACTGTTATACAGATCACAGTAGCATATTTATGAACTCTAAGGAAAACTTATACATGTAGATATATAAATTCAATGCTGGTAACTTACTCTGGAGCATGATACCCAAAGGTTCCCAATACACGGGTAGAATGAAGGCGTGCAGCCATGTCAGGGGCCTGATTAGAGAGGTTAAAATCAGCTATCTTAGCTCTGTAGTCTTCAAAGATAAGCACATTGCTTGACCTGATATCCCTATGTATAATTGATGGTTGAACTTTCTCATGTAAATATTCCAATCCCCTTGCTGCATCAACGGCAATTCTAACTCGCTGCATCCAGTTAAGAGTTGGCCCAGGTTGTGCTCCTTGAACTCCCTTTCTACCTGTAATGGAAGCCAAAATCATCAATCGAATTTCTTATATGATATATAAGTAAAGAAAAGATATGAAGCTACATACCGTGCAAAATATCATGGAGAGAGCCCATAGTAGCAAACTCGTATGCAAGTACACGAAGATTTCCTTCAACGCAGTATCCATGCAATTCAACAAAATTTTCATTCTTCAATCTTGAGACCATGGAAACCTGATATCGAAAATACTGAATGAGAAAGAAAATAAACTGAATGCAGGGACCAACACTATGCCCATGAATAAATTAAAACTGTTTGATTAGTTGATAGAAGAAAAATGCCTGGGTCAGAAACTCATTATTTGATTCAGGTTCAGTAGAAACATCAAGCTTTTTCACAGCCACAGCGCTTCCATCGTTTAATGTTGCATAATACACCCTCCCATACGACCCTTCACCAATTAATGCCTTTGATCCAAAGTTGTCAGTTTTTTCCTTCAGCTCATCTAAGGATAATGCCGGAACTTCGATAGGTGGTGGTGCCTTCTGTGCTTCAGATTTGAGAGGAGCCGACACTCTCGAACCTTTTGTGTTGCCTAAAGTACATAAAATGTGAGGAATCATTATTAGGAAAAGGCCAGACCCATCCATCTGATATGCAGAACTATGATTGACGACAGTATAATTTTGAACTCAAAATAATTGAAGTACATATAAGAAGAAAAGACGGTTAATTAGTGTTGTCGATGGCGGATGGTGATCCATGTAGGAGAGCCAAAATTGCACCGCGGCTGCAAAGCCGTTATAGCGGGAAAACTGCAATGTCGGCTAGCCCGAAAATCGCCATATATATCCGCCATAGCGGCCATGGTGGTGCCGCTATTTGATAACACTGGATTAATATACATGCAATAAAATGAAATCTAAATGTTCGATCGACCAGCTTGATGAAATAAACGGAAACGTAAATGAAATCTAAATGTTCAATCGACCAGCTTGAAGAAATAAACGGAAACGTAGATGAAATCTAAATGTTCAATCGACCCGCTTGAAGAAATAAACAGAAACGTATTGGTGTATACAAATTAAATGCCTCATAAGTAACAATTCTCTTGACATGTTTTATAGTTTATTTTTGCTTCTTATTTTTTCAAATAATAGAGTAGACCGAGAAGGATAAAATAAAGGAACTCACCATCTCCATAACCCTTTGGGCTTTTCAGGTGTTCGTTTTCATTTGATGGATAAGACTCTTCCACCTGACAAGTGCAGCATAGCCAACGACGCATTCTTGTTCTCTTCCTCAAATACAAATCGTCTTTGTTATCTGAGTCCCCAATCCGAACAAAGTAATCAGGGGGAGAATGAGAAGCATGTGCCTGCATAAGTCATAATGATGACGTCAATCATTGGAAAATCACACGAATTTAGAAACTCCTCAAACATGTAAATGATTAACAGCATATCAAGGCTATTGAAGTTAATAATCAATAGCGAATCAATCCAAATGGAATAGGATAACATTGTTGTATAAATCATAGAATATTTTGTAATTGTAAATGAAATCCATCGCATATTTTGAACAATTCAGAGACGATTTCCCCAAAATAAATCAAGGAATAGAATTAGAAGCAATAATTAGGAAAAGGCACATAAGAATGATGATGAATAGATTACCGAATGACGATGGTGAAAGTCAGAGCGGTCCATAAAAGGAGAAAGACGCGAATCCAAAAGAGAAAAATGAAGAACACCGGAAGAAGCCCAAAAAAAATGAAGATGCAACAAATGGGGGAAAAGAAAGAGGAGAGAAAGAAAGAAATAATAGAAATTGGAAAGACCAAAATTAGAAGAAGCGAAAAAAGAGGTGAAAGAGAAATTACCTCGATTGATTGCACACGATTGATTGCACACGCTACGCTAGGGTTTGGTTTGGTTTGTTGAGTTTATGCTATTGAGAGAGAATGAATGAATGATAATAGAGAGAGAGAGAGAGAGAGAGAAGTGAAAGAAGCCAGGTGGGTTGTGCGTTGTGCGTTGTGCTTTTTGGATTTGGCTTTATTTCATACGGACAAGACAACAAGCAACGCGGCCAATCCAATTAATTATTGTTACCAAATAAATATCACTTTTTTCAAACTCACTATTTATTATTATTACCAGATCAATATCCTCTATAATTATAACTCACTCTTATTAGGCATATCATAGCTATAAGTTTGGATCGGTTTTAAAATAAAATATTGATAGACTCAAAGATAAATTTATTAGTAATTTAGTTTAATTTTATATAATGGGTTAAAATATATATAAATAAAATAAAATAAAATAAAATGATATTTATTTTTATTTTATTTTATCACTTATCTGTTTTTGAATAAAAAATCATTTTTTATTCAAACAGAATAAATAATTTATTTTGTCTTGTAAGATCTTTATTTTATTAGAATAAATATTACTTTATTTTATTTTATTATTATTTGTTTGTTTAGAAATATTCAAACGTAATTTTAAATTATTTGAGTTTATTTATTTGCACTATATAAAACTATCAATATTCAATGTTTTCTTTCAAAACTATCCATATTCAATGGTAGAAATTATTATCAAAATCCATTTAATAATTGTATTTTAAGTATTAAATTAAAAACCAATAACATTATTTTATTGTAAAATTGTTTTTATATATATAATATTAATTTATTTGAATTATTGTTATTAATATTACTCTATATAGTCATATATTTATCTTCTAAAAGATTATTACATTTTTTGCCGTGTTATAATTTTGAAATTTCTCTAAACTCGATTAAAATATTTATTGTTAAATTTATTATTAAATAATATATGATAATTGAGTTAATTGTTGTTCTAGAATTTAATTTGTGACAAAAACATTTTTTTATTTTTCTTCACTATTAAACAAATTAAATAATTGATTTAAGATTCAATTGCTAGTGATAATATTTTTTTTATATTTTTTGTATTAATTGACTATCATCTTTTGTTATACTTAAAAAAGAAAAAAGAAAGTTTGTTAGGATGGTTTTTAGAAATTTGATTATGATGTTTTGTTATGTTTGAAAATGAAAAAGAAAATTGTTAGGAAAGTAAGGAAAAGAGGGGGCAGGGGGCGGTGTGTAATGATGGAGAAGGTATCTTTGGCCAACTGTTTGTCATTCCAATCGGACCCTTTCTCTATCCCACCGGAGACTGCTTCCATTTTCTCAGGATCATGTCATAATCTTAGTCTTACCAAAAAATATATATAATAACTCAGCATTAAGAATTTCATAACTTCCGTACTCCCCAATTGTTATACTAGTAATAAAAAATAGGATTAAATAACTTTTTTATTCTTTTAAATATAGGAAATTTTGTTTTTAGTACTTTTAAAGAAAATGTAAAAAGAGTCCCTTTAATATTTTTCGTTTACATTTTTGGTCGTTTTTATTATGTAGAGGGTAAGGATATCATGATTGTTAGTATCAAGAGCAATTGGTCATGGATTAGTAAAGGAATTTTCAAGTTTAGGAACAAGGTTGTTGGAAATCAAGAGTGGCAAATGATTATGTAGAAGTGAAAAGTGAAATTAGAGACCTCATCAAGGTAAGATGGATTGGTACATGGTTTGGTATGATAATCCAGTCAGACCGCGCTCTAAATTTACTACTTGGCTTATGTGTAACGGGAGGTTGACGACTAAAGATAGGCTCCACAAATTTGGTATGATTGACAATAAACGATGTAGCTTTTGTAATGAAGAGGAATCAATCCAACATCTTTTTTTCAATTGTCCTGAGACGTCTCGTGTTTGGCAGCAAATTCTGCAGTGGATTCAAGTGATACATTCTCCTTTTGGATGGAAAGAAGAGCAAGGATGGGTATTGCATAAGAGCAAAAGGAACAATAGCAAAAGTAAAATCATGAAGTGTGTCTTTGTGAGAACAATTTATGAAACTTGGCGACATCGAAATCAATCTTGTTTTGGTGATAGCAAAGGTGTTGGTACTGTCTCCAGAATTTTGGATACCATTGTTTATAGGTGTTGGCAAAAGCTCAACTTTAGGAGGCACATTAGTATGTTAATGATGCCTTAACTTTGGTTGGTTCGTTTTGTGTTGTTTGGTGTTGTTTTGGCCAGGTCTTCGGATCGCCTTGTATTGTATTGTTTTTTGGAATTTAATAAAATTTCGTTATTCCAAAAAAAAAAATATTCAACATTATACTTCTTTTTCTTTTATGTTTTAAAGTTAAAATGCTTCTTCAATATCAACACCAAACAAAAAGTTGGCTATATTTTATCAATTTTTTCCCAATTAAGATTGTTACACTAATGGTAATAAAACTCACAAACAACTTCTTGTTTAGATTAATAATGCTAACAAATTATTATGGTTATTCATGTTATTTTATCATGTAACAAGTTGGTATGATTGTGCGCTCTCTCACACTGGTAATGGGTTTTAGTTTTTTAAAAAAAATAAAACTCAGGTGGATCTTCAACTAGTTACTTACATTAATTACTAAGGAGGTTGCAAACTTTTTAAATTATTCAGGTTGTGAGCATAAAAACCATTGGAATTGCAATAAAGTTAATACTTGATGGAATAAATCAAATAGGTTATCCTAAAACTTGGTTTTTTTGTTACAGTGGGTATAATATTTACACAGTTGAATTACCTTAATAAGGTGAGTGCAGAATTTTGAAATTGAGCAGGTGCAAATTATAACTGAAACTATTCATTATTTATCACATTATTTCTAATCATATATCACATTATTTAACTGAAACTATTCATTATTTATCACATTATTTCTAATCATATATCACATTATTTACTTTTAATGAAGAGACATGTAATTTCTAATCATATATCACATTATTTACTTTTAATGAAATTTATTTCATTTTTTTTCATCCTAAGCATAATGAGACTTAGAGTAGCAACATTACACTTCAATAATAAGATCATAAACATGTTCAATTCATCCTAAGTTGTTCTGGTGTTACGATGACATTTTCATTTACAAAAAAAAACCTATTCATTCTTTTTAATTATTTGATCATTATATATGAAGGAACTGTATTATACATCCCAAGTTGCGCAACATCAATGACAGCAACAACTGACATTGCACCTTTGGAGATTATAGCTCTAAGAAATACTCCTCCCTGCATTTAAACATTTTCACAAACAGTTAGTAAACCATGTATAATTAAAATCTCTTACATTTAATATATTTCAGTATATGTAGGTTAATGAAATAATATCTATTCTAACCCAATAATATTAATATAATTATAGCTGGTCAAGAATAATCCGAAGATCAACATGTTATATTACATCCTCTTATTCATTTATTACTTTGTAGACGCACCTATGTAGCATCTATTTTTCCTTACTTGTAATTATGTTACAGTAGTCAAATAACTCGCTTCTAATGAAGCTTCAACATCTTAAATGAACAAGAGGAAACACCATTTATAGTTGTTGTAAATCGGATACCGTTAAACAAAGTATAAACAGTTTCTTATCAAGAAACACACAAGGGTTAGGGTTAATAAAGAAGAAAGCAACAAGGAACAACAAGGATTGGTTATTAAACTGCTATTCTTTCCTTTCTCTTAGAACAAGATTACAAGTATACAAGAATAACAAAATAATCTCTCTTCCTTGAAATTAGGATTTTATCTTCATATTCTTCCTTATGCCAAGATTGAGAAACTAGCATCCTATTTATAAGAAAAATAACACACTAACCTAATGGGCTTTTTAACAATTACCCATTACAAGCTAACTTAGGGTACAAGCTAACTTAAACAATTGAGCTTACAAGCAATGCCCAATTCAACATGCTAACAACCATAGCAATATTTACTAATGCGTGTTAGAACAAACTTCGACTACAACACGCATTACTTGCGAACAGACTTCGACAACACTAGAGTTCGATCCAACATCTCACAAATCTCCAACTTGGATCTAACTCTATAACATCAAGATACTAGCTTTCTTCATGCAGCTTTATTAACTGCATACAGTGGAAAAACTTGCAACTGGACAACGTCTTGGTGATCATATCAGCAGCATTATGATCTGTCGAAACCTTCAGCACTTGGACTTCTCCACGCTCGATTACCCCTCTGATGAAATGCAACCTCACATCAATGTGCTTGGTTCGCTCATGATAGGCTGAATTCTTCGATAGGTGTATTGCACTTTGACTATCACATTTAACAGTGATAACTCGACCTTGAAGTTTTAACTCCTTTGCAAAACCTTCAAGCCACAATGCTTCCTTCACAGCTTCAGTTAGGGCAATATACTCCGCTTCAGTGGTTGATAAGGCAACGACCTTCTGAAGTGTTGCTTTCCAACTGATTGCTGTCCCAAACATAGTGAACACATATCCAGAGATAGATTTTCTGGAATCCATACAACCTGCATAATTAGAGTCGACATATCCTTCGATTGCTGCTTTACTATCTTCACCCAAGGCTCCACCATAAATTAGGACTCTATTCAGAGACCCATTTATGTACCTTAATATCCATTTACAGCTGACTACCCTGCCTCCAGCAAGTTTCTTGATCAGTTCCCAGGTGTTGTTATCATGAAGAGATTTCATCTCATCATCCATGGCCTTCAACCATTCAGTCTTCTTTCGACTCCTTATAACTTCCTTATAGTCTCTAGGTTCTTCAT